GGGAACGGCGAAAGTTCGTGATCTCAGTCGCAGTTCGGGCGGACGAGAAGGATATCTGGACGAAGCAGAAGTTCGTTGTTATGTTGCGGCGTCCTCGGTGATCGGCGGATGCACAACACAATTTAAATCACCACTGTAGGCTTAATCCGGAGGAGACTCTTCTTCGACCTTGAAAGTTCCGATTTTTATAGTTTTTCCCGCACTATTCGCATTTCGGATTGGTCCCTCGTCCCATTCCTCGCTTCCCGATTGGTCTCTTCTTTGTTTCCAGGTGCAAGATGAAACTTTTCGGGTCGCGGGAAAGGTCCGATTCGAGGTGTCCATCCGATACCTCTTTGTCGACTCTGCTCGGTGACTGTTTATAAAATAATAACACCTGCACTCATAACTCAGACCGTTATTTACCATTTTTTGACGTCTAAGAATTTAACGATCATTTTCACCTTTCACCTATCAAAAATTCCTCTATTTTTTTGTTCGAAAAGGTTTATCTTGGCCAACATTTTATAGACACGTGAGTCAAAGATCTACCTGTTTATGAGCGCTCCTGTTAGAGTTTGTCTTCCGCTAAGACCTTAACAGATAGTTGACACATACTCGAACCGTCCCGAGTCGTTGTTTACATCTTGTGTCGCGCAAGAATTTCACGGTTTACTTGAGTTCGAACCTCGTCTGGGGACCCACAAACGGACGAATTATCGTTAGCATATCGAAACTGAAGTTAATGATAAAAGATCTTAACCCTAACACTTCCCTCCTTCCTCAACACATAACGCCATCCACTAAGACAGGAATAAGTCTAGCAGAATTACTATTGGGTCGGCAGCCAATGGCTTGTCTACACCGCCTTCATCCCGATTTGGATGCCGAAATGCGGTAAAAACAAGGAGGCAAAATCCTCCAAAACAAATCGATTCGTCCATTTCCCGAATCAAACCAGGTTTTTATCCATAACTACAGTACACGCGAAGATTCTACTTGAATTCCCAGAAAAATAACCCGTCGAACCTGTCCGGTCTCATATGTGGCCATGGACTTGAAAGGTCGTAGTTTCCATGGGCATCATGGCCAAATAGAAAGCGTCAAGTTCCACCAGAACCCCAGCGGGCCGACTCAACTCCATCAGACCGGGCACCTGAGCAGGCATAAAAAGTTTCAAATCAAGCGGTCTAGACGTAGCGTGCGACCCGAAAAATATTCAGACAATTATGTTATTAAAGAAGGCGTATCGTGTATGGGTCATAAGGGGAGCTCCAGGTAGGAGGATCAAAGAATACGAATTTTGCCGCCAAAAAAGAATGGAAACAGGCCAGCAATACCTGCACATGGGGTGCCATGTAATACCGGGTAGTATTATATACGTATTTTGCTATGCTCATGTAATTCTTTACTTTTAAGTGTGGTAAACACAGAGCTTTTTGTAAGAAGTATGTTTTTTTATTCGATATTTTATACTTTTCAATAAAAATTTTGTTTTATAAGCAAATGATGTATTATTCAATTATATATTTTTAATTGTTTACCTACTAGGCCAATTGAAATTGTTAACGAAATATTATAGTGTTCAAGTTATTGTTTATGTAAATAAATAACATATTGAATTTTGATCATATGAATACGTAATGAAAGATTGTACCTACATTAATGGAAAGTAGTTCTTGCTTTAATTAATACAGTAATACTTTAATTTGAAAGAAATATTTTTGCCACTTCCACGTATAAGTGAATCATATGCGCCTTTTCAACCAGTTTCCTAAAATACAAGTCCACAAAATTTATTTTTGTATGTAGCTATAACAATTCAAAAATATAAGAAAGTGATTTTTTATATTATTAATATAAATAGATAAATAAAATTTTCAGTAGATATACGGTAAAAATGTTTTTATTTGTACATTTTTATCGCTTTCGGAAAGAGAAGAGGCCATACATTTATAATAGTCTACGCCCTAGAGTCTAGGGCGTAGTCTCTAGGCCCTATGTAATTTCTCTCATCCCAGCTTCTTACAGTTAACTTCACTTATCTAATCAAACTCTCATGTGGCTTGAAGAACTCAGTTAATATTAACTTGTGATATGTACCGTTTCTCTCTACATATATATGCAGTTAACTGATATTATATCACTACAGTTTTAAATATGATTTACCAATTTATTTCATTTAAAACATTTAATGGTAAAAAGAATAATATTAAATTGTGAACTTATCGGGAGGACTTTCTCTGGTAAACTGGCCCTATTCAGGTGTTACAAACTTGAAGGAAACCCGGAAAACCCACGTAAACAGCTCGGCCAAGCACAACCAACGACCAACTAACAGTGTTTTAGTGGTTTTACCCACTCGACTACTGGTGGGCGAAGTTTTAATGGAAATATCTAGAAAAAAAATGTAATTAAACGGTCAAAAATGTAACATAAAACGTAAAGCTTCTGGAGTAATAAAATATTGTTTAAACGAAACTATTCCGTTTGTTTTATATCAAACATTTTTGACTATGAGCATTTATATTTAATAAAATATTGAGAAAATGATGATCTATGTAACCTTGTTAAATTCTTGTATTTTTGAAAATCATTAGTTTAAATGCGCAATATTCAAAATTCCTAAAACAGAACTGAAATTTTTGTAAAAGTGAAATACTCAATCATAAGTGAATAATCCAATAATCGCAATTAATTCTTTACAATGATAAAGTTGTAAATCTGCGATCCACACTAAAAGCTATTGAAACGGCTCTCTAGTGCCAATTAAAAAGTAGATCCCAACTGAATTCAAAAATTACATTTTTTCGATCAAATGTTATCATGAAACTATTTTTATTACCTCATTTCCTTAACTCTCTATTGAATATAAATTGTAATTTATATCATATTACGTTAAATTTAATCTTAAGAATTAAAAACAACAATCTATAGAAATACCCGATAAATGTAGAACAAACGTCTCACTTTGTTGAGAATATCTGAAATTAACAATAGTGATGGCTACAATAATAGTAAATATTTCATATGAAACCATACTTTGTCTATTGTTATCACTTTTTGTTACGAATATAAGGTTTCAATACGACATTTTATTCGAACTTAACTCTACGCGTGTTACGCAGGCAGAGTTTTACATAATACAATTAGTAGGAAAGTTTTAATGTTTCGTACACCGCCATTGTTAGGCTTAATGGCCGAACGGTTAAGGCAACAGCCTACCTCTCTGGGGATTCCAGGAGAGAATTGAACGAATACAGAAACCACAGGAATTTTTCGGGATGATCCTTCTGATTTATCGGGCCCGTATCTATTTTTTTGTTTGTTTGTTAAGTTATGGCAACGCAACACTTGGGCGATCTGCCTAGGGGATGCCTTCCGGGAGGTCTTTTTAATTTAAGGGAAACTGCCCCTATTTAGGCGTCACAGACGTGGAGAAAACCCGGAAAACTTTACGTGGTCAGCCCGTCCGAGCGCGGTGAGAACCTACGATCGAACTCCCAGTGTTCAGGGTACGAAGACCGCTTGGCCACTGGTGGGGGTCCCGTATCTGACCTTAGGCTGCCCCATTGTGAACTTGGTCGAACTAATAACAGGCTTGCTAAGAAAAGGCTCTCTTAGTGCCACAGGACGGAAAGAGTGTAACAAAAAAGAAACAAAGTTACATTGGACAATAGCATTTGCTCGTAATTTGAATACTAAAGTACTGTATATAACAGACATGGGCAAATGCTGCTCCGAGAGCCGCATGCGGCTCTTTTTGAATTACATGCGGCTCTTGCTAAAAGTGTTAATTTCTGCTTTTTATTATTATTTTTACAATTTTATTTCCACAATTTTGTGAAAATATGTTTATTAAAAAAATTCAATATTTGTTTTATATTATATTTATATTATACTAGCTGCAAGGACCCGCTTCGCTGGGTTTTTAAAAAGTAACGATAGTGAAGATTAAGATAATTACATTATAGCCAATCTTACCCGTTTTCACAGAATGCAAGAATTAGGTCCCCCGTTTCCAGACTAATTAGAGACCTGGTCCCTATTCTATTTCTGAACGTCTCCTGTTCACTTCCAGTCAAACGAACTATTTTCAATGTTTCTGGAACGTTTACAATCGTTCCATAATCGAACCAATATTCGAATTTTATGTTCGAATTCAAATTCGAATATTGTTCGAATTAAATTCGAACAAAACATTCGAAATAGAAAACCACTTTCAATCACTTTCAGCCCCATATCTCCCGCACCCTTATAGCTATCGAGACGCAACCCCCATAGTGCACGAATGGAGACTTGGGGCTACTACCACATATAAACTCCATTCACGTGCGATGTGTAGTTTTGGCGGAAAAGTGAAATATAGGGACACACACGTCCATTTATATATATATATATAGATAATAAAAACGCGGTACAGAATAAAAAAGTACAGAACTGCGGCTCTCATGCATTTTGCAAAACCTACATCTCGGCTCCCACTAAACTTTTGCTTGCCCACCCCTGGTATACAACATCCCTAACATAGTGTCCACAGAGCAGAAAGAGACGGACGGCCGTATGCCGAGCATTCAAGATGTCAGTCTACCGCTCTAGGAACACGGAATCGAATCCTAAGGAGTCGAAAAATCCCCAAGAATTTTTCGGAAGGTGGTCCATCCAAATATGTTGGGCCCGTCCCTACCTCTCGGTCGCCCCATTGTGGCCCTGGCCAAACCCATAATGGGCTGATTAAAAAAAAGCCCTCTTAGTGCCCACAGCACGGAAAGAATTAAAAATAAAAATAAAAATAAAGCGGAAAGAGATAAGGGAAAAAGATGTGCACAAGAAACCTACATATAAAGTTTTAATGTAGGTTTCTTTTAAAAATTATTGTATTTACCTTTACTATTTTTAAATAAAATATTTTATTAAATATATATTTTTTATTTTTTTGCATTTTTTATATGACATTTTCCCGCGTTCTAAACTCTGCGACAATTTTATAGCCCAATCGTCGTCATCTGGCAGTAAACAAATTTAAAAACGAAAATGGCGGACTTTGAACGTGTTCCTGTCGTCAACGTGAACGTAAAAAACCTAAATTTTCTCTATCCGAGTATTGTGCTAGCCATTAAAAATTCCACTTTCATATCTATCGATTTGGTAAATATTTAATTATATACTTACAGCAATTAATATTATAATACAAGCCAACGTAATTAATTTATATTCATTTTATTATCTCCAAATTATAAAGTAATTCCTGTGGATATTGTGAAAATTATTTTTAATAGTAATAAGTTATTAAAAAGCTACGATTCCAGTTAGTACAATTGCAGAAGTGAATGACACTGCTGGAACCTTAACAGAGCTGCAGAGAGTGGCCGCAGGAGCAAAAAGTCAAAGAACCATACCTCTATATGTGGCCTTTCCAAGATATTGCCCCCCCAAAATCGCCCTACTTTCAGAGAGCGATCGGGAGTCTATGCTAGTTTTGAGGAGCCCACTTGACTGTGGAGTATTTAATGTTATATAATTTTAGGGGAGTTCTGCCCAACATTCTGCTCCCACGACGTGCAGAATGTTGGGTTAGGCTTGCTGTTGCTCACCTTGACTGATGCAGAGCGTGCAGAATAGGCAGTAGTACTGGTTTGAGGTGAAAACTGTTTAAAGTCAGAAGTTAATGCATTTATTATTTGTTGTAGACACCGATCACTGGCCTGTATGTAACATAATTTTCTTGTAAGCGTGACATTCCTGAGCAAGATGGCAACTGGAACTACCACCATTGGATTTCTATATTTGGAGGCTAATATCTTGGAAAGGGTCAGATTTTTCTTTATTTTTTACCAATAAATATTGTTATAATGGCTGACTGTCATGCTGGGCTGTCTGTTAAACACACAATAGGCTTAGCAGAACATGCAGCATTACTCCCTGTAGCACCTAGGAGTAGGTTGTAGGCTTTTGGAGGTGAGTTCAATGATCTGAAATAGAATGGCATGATTTTCAAATGATTTGGTTCATATGTTTGGCTGCCTACTGATTGGTGGAGACTGTTCCAGTATAAACTTGTTTATCTGCTGATGTTTAAGGTGGATGGAGGTATACTTTCTATGCATTAGGGAAAGTGTCATTGTCTTTAAAGTTGATGACCTTTTTCAAAACTGCCTTGTATATCTCCATTGGTTCAAGATATCACAGTTATGCTCTATTAGATGTTCGACAGAGAATCCTGTTCCTGTTGGTTCAAATCAAACAGTTTTCTTTCAAGGCAGATGGGAGATTTAAGTATAGCATACCATCTTCTAGAATTGTGGATAGCTTTACAAAGACATAGTTTATGTACCAGATTGATTAACAAAGCACATTCTGTTGGAAGTTGGGTTTCATATATAGAGAAAGGAAAAATGCCTAAGGTATAGTTGTAAAAACTTCAACTTAGCATTGATGCAGAAAAGATGTATAAGTTTACAATATTGTTTGGCTGGCATAGCCATAATCCAAAGGATGTCTTCTAGATACTGCTTAATATTGCACTAAGAAACTTAACTCAATGTGTGCTTTATTAATCAACCAGATATGTAAACTATGCCTTAGTAATCTGCAATACTAGGACAAAATGGTATGCTATACTTAAATCTCTAATCTGCCTTGAAGACCAATTATTCAACATAGACCAACAACTCCTCTCCAATATAAATGTAGGAGTTGTATCTTTGGTTGATTCTCTCAGGTACTGCTGACTTGATATTTCAAAGTTTACTGCTTGTAAGCAATGTTTTTAATTGATCCAGCCTGTATTATTTAATAGCTTTAAAAAGTAAACATTTTTTTGATTCACTAACACAAGATGTGTTTTTATTTCAACACTTGGTGGTATTCCATCTTTATTTAGTTAAAGTGACATGCATATTACTTAATGTGATGACTTACTGTGAGAGTTGTTCTTGGTAAATTTTCTTGATGGCTTCCTTTGGTGATGTTTGCTTTGATGAAATTTGCCATTTCTATGTAATAATTTGTTTTAAATCTACTTGTGTTAATGAATCAAAGAAATTAAGACAACACGGTTTCAGAAGATTTAAAAGGGTAAAAATGTTAAAAAATAACCCTTACTTTTAACCTTCTAACCAGAGTGGTTGTGTTATATGTCAGCTAAAAGTAAAAATGTTTGCTATGCCATTATAACAATAATTTTTATAATATTTTCTTACTTTTTCAACAGAAATATATAACAATACTAGCAGATATTATAAATGTATAACATTTCCCCCATGGGGGAAATTTTCGAAAAATCCCTGTTTAGTGTATATTCTGTTGACATACCCTATTAAAACGTAATCAAAAACGCAAAAAACCGCATCTAAAATAGTATAAATAGAAGCAGAGTTCTTTACAGTAAGCCTTAATCCTGTCCATCTCCCCTCAGTGGGGAATTTCGACAAGTATATTATATAAAAACATGTCTGTATTCGAATCCAGCGTTGTCAAAATTTCAAAGGAATTGGTAGGAACAAACAAGCATTACATTTTTATTTATATAGATAGATAGATGATCTGCTTTAGTTCATCCCCTCAGAAAAGCATAATGCCTCACAGAAAAGAAAACTTAGGTTGTCGCACTCGTAGCGCCATCTGTTGGACATAAAAGCTTTAATCCTAGATGATATTTTTTTAATTTATATGAATGTTTAACGAAATAATATACAGCCTATGTCTACCCTGAAGTTCCATTCTAAATATTGGTGAAAGAATTTTTGAAATCGGATGAGTAGTTTCAGAGATTACCCGCTACATACAAACTTCGAACATTACCTCTTTATAATAATAGTATAGATAATGTATTATCATTTTTATTATAGTTTAACATAATATAAAAAATATATTATATAGAGGTGCTGAATTTTCTGATCTATTTTCAAATTTATATTATTTTAGGAATTAAGTGGAATTGGGAATAGACATGAAATTAATTGTAGGTAAGAACTAAGTTTTCTTTTTTGATAAAAAAAAATATAATTTTACTTTAATTACTTTAAACTCTCTATTTTAAGATTTTATCAAAGTATTTAATATTGCTTTAATCTTCTCTGTACATTGGGCATTGGCTTTTGCCAGACAAGTAAACAGAAGCCAGATCTGCTCATTAACATATCTAAACTAATCATACACTTAGACTTGTACATGCGTTATACTAAAGTCAACTCATTACTAAATATATTGTCATGGTATTCATTCACTAAAATCATCTACTCTATAAGTAACATGTGACACACAGCATTTACTCAAATTATTGAGTAAATTTCTTGAAACTAAATACTCTAAAAGAAATTCTTCCAGAGTAACCAGGAGTTTAAAAGGAAGTAAAAAAATTCAGAAATTTCCTTACTTAATCATTCTTTTTTCTAATATATATATGTTACTGTGAAAGACCAATATCTGGCAAATGTCAACATTCTCCAGTGAATGTCAGCATTCACACAGTTATTTTTTGTATGTACGAAATATTTGCTAAATATCATTATTTCTCACTTACACCGGCAAATGTCGACATTCAGCATGCACTGATGGTGAATGTTGAATAAAAATATTTTTATTACGTTAAGACAAAAATGCAACTTTTTAATATGTCAGAATAGGAGAAAGCTTAAGTAACAGCAAATGTAAATAAACTGTTGAACCTAAAACAAACAGTACATTCTTAATCAGAAAAGAAAAATAATACACAATAGTAAACTTACACATATATTATGTGATTAATGTTATACAATCTTATTTATTGCAACAAAAACTGTTATGACACTATGAATTTCACAAGAGTCCCTTGCTTTTACAACTGAATTTATTTGTGGAACACTCTTTTTGCAATGACAGCGTGCCTTGCCCTCCACTTTTTGAATTAGAATCTGCTTCTCTCAGTGATATTTCTTGAGAAGAAATCTCATCTATGGAAAATAACTTTTCTTTACAAATTATGAACTGATTGCAGGTATAAAGCTGCTTGAGGGTACCTTTTTTGTTTGCTAATTTATAAAAGTCGGAGTCATCTATTCCAACAACAACTGCCAACACATTTTGGGCATCTGTATGGCCATAGTTGACATCAGGGACTTGTGTTCGTACAGTATCACCAATTTGAGCAGGAGGAAATTTTCTTTTTGAGGTTTGTAACATTTTTATTGCTTGCAGTAGAAAATTCATTCGCGGCCGCTCTTTTTATAGAAATAGTGTTGCTCAGTCAGGGCTTGACATGAAGACGTGGTGGATTGCAGCTCCTCTTCAATATTTTCATTTGGAATATGGCATTCGTTATGGCCACTACTCAAATTTCCTTCAAAAGTATTAACAATTTCTTCAAGCTGTTCTTCAGTTTCAATATTTGCATTTTGTTCAGGGCTGTGGAGTCGCATAAAAATCTACTGACTCCAACTTTTCCTTACCATCCGACTCTGACTCCGACCAGGGGCAGACTTGTTACCGAAAGAGACCCGGAAATTCTGATGTCATCACGTGACCTCAGAATAAAAGATTCAATAAATAGAGTTCTAATAAAGATAGAACATAGAAACTTTTTATTCCAAAGCTCCTCTAAGTAATATATATAAGTAATAATAAGACTCCTCTAAGTAATATATAAATATGTATTTGATAATTTTTATTACTCCGGCTGTTATATATAATAGAGGGAAAGTGTAGCACTTGGTCAAAAAATGACCCCTCCCAAATTTTTACATTTTTGGATTCGGGACACCTTTAAATTTCGAGTTATACAAAAGATTTGAGATTTTTTCTATATGTGTGAATGTTAGATTGTGTGTGGGGGGCATGATTTTGTTCACCCTGTTTGAAGCCTAATAATTTCTGTGGTCAAAGTGGTCAGAATCGGAGTCAGATTGTTCAACACAGGAGGTAGTTATTAAGCGTCAAAGTGGTTGAACTAAATCGTGTCCCCATACACATTCTAATATCTTAGGCGAGAACATCTTAACAGGTCTTACTGTACTATTATAAAATGACAAAAAAAGCTTACTTTGAGGGTAGAGACAAGTTTTATTTTATTTTTTTAAATTTTGAATGCTAATAATGAGTAAAATATTCATTAAGAGAGATGACAACATGACCCCTTTTATGTCTTCACCCTGTCGACCTTTAATTAAGAACCAAAATTTAATAGTATTAATGCCCCTTTATATGCAAGCTACAGTGCCACATTTCGTTTCTTAAACTTTACCCATTCTGAGATATTGTTTAATATCTCAGAACAGAAAATAAAGAAATTAAACAAATTAGACGCCAACAAACAAACACAATTTTTCCTCTTTTTATTGACTTTTTTGAGGGGTTTGGGAGGTCTCCAAATGTGTAGATTTGCAAATAAACTTGGGAGGGTTAAATTTGACACGATTCTAATACTTTTCCATTTTATATACATAACAAGTTGGTAAGTAAAAAGGAGTCAGAGTCAGTGGATTTTTTGACGACTCCGACTCCGGCTAAAACACCAAAACTCCATGACTCCGACTCCACAGCCTTGGTTTTGTTTGCCAGGCAAAGATGATGATTCTATGCCTCTTTTTGGTTTAATGCCAAACAGGGCTTCATAAGGACTTTGGCATATTTCTTCGTGATATGTAGTGTTCTTGGCAAATTGTACAAAGGACAAACCATCTGACCATTTATTTGTATCATTATTGTTCATCCATGCAGTTAACATATTCTGTATATCCTGATTGGCCCTTTCAACTGAGCCTTGTGTTTGACTATGATGAGGCTTTCCATGAACTATCTTAACATCTTTCCACATAGCACATTGTTCGGATATGACTCGATTACATAATTCTCTACCATTATCTGAATGCAATATAGCTGGGGCACCAAATGTTAAAAATATTTGAAGAAGCTGTCTTAGTTTTCAAAGGTAGTAACTGGACAAATTTCATTAAATGATCTTGATACACCATTATGAACTTATATTTGCCATCCCTGTGTCTATCAGATCAACTTGACATCTTGAGTTTAAGTCATTGGTTTCACAACAATAACTTTTTTATGTGCACTATGTTTCATTGTTTACATAAATTTAAATACAACAATACAACTTCATATGTAATATTTTTGTATTTAAGTTGCAATTCTTTAAGCATATGTGTTCTTCCTCCATGGCCTGTTCTGCTGTGAGTTTCAGATAGTATACTGAACAATTTATCATTGGCAACATAATACTGTATATTCGTTTCTCCTGGTTTTAATGGTACAATTAATTAATTTCTCTTCATTATTAATTTTTAAAATGTCAAAATGTTTTAATCATCTATAATCCAAAGGTGTGCTGCACTTAGTTTTAGCAGAAATCACTTCAGAAAGTATTTTAGATTACTTTTCTTGAGAAAAATAAAAACAATTGTCTTCTCATTTACTTGCAATTAATGCACGTAACTTTTCAAAAAAAAATTCTTGGTTCACTTCAGTATTCATTCAATGTAAATTAGGGTATCGGATAAAAACATAAAATTTAAAAAAATGTTGCATGCACCAGTAAACCTTGCATAAAACTGACAAACAGCAGTGTTCCAGAGTATAACAAATAGATACCACATGATTTCAATTGCGGCAGAACAAAGGATTTGGCAACAGACTGTTGCCTTTCTGTCGACATCAGCTTCTCGGGTGTTGTTTCAACCTCCACCAAAGCTTATCTGTGATTGTTGACATACACCAGCGATTGTTCAAATGTATAATAATATAACCAAATATTCAATCTTTCACCAACATATTTTGTATGTGTTGACTTTCATTGGAGAATATCGACATTATCTAATTTTGGTCTTTCACAGTAACATATATATATATATATTATATATATATGTTATTGACTTTATTGTATGCAGTTTATTTTAGTAAATACAATTTCAGTCATATTCCATTTACTGAAATTGTTTTCAATGTTGTTTGTTAATACAATAGAGCGTCGTTTATCCAAAAGCCACTCATTCAAAACGTCGGTTAACCGAAAGCATTCCAATCAGACTGTGTTGTGCTGAATCGAAGGTTTTTGATACTAGATTAACTCCCAAAATATAATTTTTTTGTTTTTATATTTTTCAATATATTTATTTTGTTTGTACAAAATAAAGAAATAATATTTAATGATACAATAGCCACAATTATTATTTTAAAATATTTACATTAGGCTTAACATCAATGAAAATTCAACACGAAGCGACACACAACAGAAAAAAATTTCAATGTGGGATAGGTTAATATATTTTTTCGTACATAATCAGTTATCTAAACAACCTCAGTCCCCAATTGATTCGGATAAACAACGCTCTACTGTAATTTTTTGTGTGTAAGATTTAGTTAAAATAATATATTATCAGGATTTTGATGAAATATACAAAAATTGAAAAGAAAAATCTTTATAATTTAAAAAAAATTACTTTATGAAGAACAAACATTTTGAATTAGCTATACTGTTTAAAGTCAAGTTCAATTGTCTGGAATAAGAATTATTTAAAATATAAAAAGTCATAGAATGTAATCGCACAGTAAGAATATGATAAATATATAATCATTAATATAAATATAATTTAACAAGTAATAATTAATTAACAAGGTGAAGAATAAATATAAAAATTAACAAAAAAACAAAGAGGATAAAATAAGAAAAGTAAATATCAACTATAAAATGAAGAAATAAAATGAAATATCTAACATTAAAAGTGCCTCCATCATGGCAGTTGATACAGTCTCTCCTTTAATCATAAATTTCCAGCATTTTTCTGATATTGGCAAAATTAAAATTTTTAATGTGCTTAATAATTGTTGCATGATTCATAAAATAGTTTTCCTTGAATGAATGCAAATGTTGACAATATTGTAAAAAAAATTTTCTGTTTTGTATACAGTATTCTTTAATGTACATTGACAATAATCTGCAGGTATAATTATTATTCTATAATCTGATGATGGTCATTTAAAATGGCTGAAAATATTTGTTCTGTATAAAGTAACTTTTGTTGAACTATAAAGATTTTCATTTTAAAGTGTAATATATTTACATGTTGGAAAAGTTTGAATGTCCAGAGTGAGTTAAATTCTCACTGCAGACATTTGATTTTGTATTCGTAACCTGACACAGGCCCCTGAATGTGGCTGAAAATGTTTATTATATAGTTACTATTGGAAAGTGTGAGAAATGTGTGGTTTTTCTATGTTGAATTAGAAATAATAGTTAATTTTGTAAATTTAGTTAATTCAATTTATTTTTAAATTTAGCTCAATTGAGGACAGATATAAAGCATTATCTGAAGTTGCTAAAACACGTGCTATTATTTCTTTTGGCATATCCTGTTTTAAATTACAATCAAACTATCCCAATTCTAAGAACTGTCTTGGCATTAAGTAAGTAAATTTTCTTAATACTGAAATATATTTTAAAATATACAGTAGAGCATCGATTATCTGACCCCCGATTAACCATCACATCGGTTAACTGACCGTTCTAGTTGGCAAATTTCAAATGTCCGCTAGTGATGTGGCACTACAATATTTGGCTGTGTCTTGGCTACTTTAATATTATTTTTGTTAAACTTTTGTGTGTTTTAGCTGGCTCAACCATTAAAGGGCAGCCAGTATTTAAACGAGACTTAATTTTCTAATTATGAATGGTTGTTTTGTGAGCAATAAAATAATTTTAAAATAATTTTTAACGATATGATAGCGACAATTATTATTTTTAAAAAAATTTGTTAGGCTTAACATCGATGAAAATTCAATGCGAAGTTGGTTAATAGCGATATACTAATATACTAATTACATGGGATATACTAATATACTATACTAATAATGTATTTTTTTCGGTTATCCTATTTTTCAGTTATCCGACCAACCTGAGTCCCCAATTGAGTCGGATAATCAATGCTCTACTGTATTTACTGTATTATAAATTACATTTTAAGATACCAATTTTCAAAATAATTTTTTGTGTATGTTTAACTTAGAACTTGGCACCATAATTAAATGAATAATATCATGACTGCTAATTGAGGAAACCAAATTATTTTTAATACACAGTTTAACACTATACAATAATGAGTCTTTTGATGTCTTTTCTCACACCTCAGGAACACAGGTGTTGAACACAAAAAATTTTATATACAGTCGACCCCCCTATAAGATAGAGATACATTCCATTCTCTAGGAATCCGATTTCTTACGAATCCTTCCAATCACAACCCGACACGTGTCAAGTTTACGGACTACGGCTGTTTGAAAGATTTTCTTCCATAAAATTAATCGATTCTAGACTAATCCGACTCAACATTTCCAAAATACGTATATATTTTTTGGGAATAATCCGTATAAACTACGCTATAAACAAAAAATTGTAGGATTACTTACCGAGTGTCACCATTCGA